CTTCCCCCCCCCCCCCCCCCCGAAGTTGCCTACTACTTTCTTTCTCTTTTAATATAAATATAACTATGTAGTTAGGACTAGAAAGTACTCTGGATCCATTGTTGAACTCATGGCAGGTTATTCTTCGGGGAAGTGTCAACATAAGTTTGCGACACTGTGTTGAGCACCTAAGCAAGCCCTTCAGCCTTGAGGTTACATAAAAAGGGATGACACTGTCGTGCTCAGGTTACCAGAGCCTTGTACTTCTGTACTCTGATCAGGTAAAGATCAAAGGGGAGGGAGGGAAAGATTCCCATTATATGACAATGAACAGGTTGGAAGAAAAAAAATGACTGACCTTACAGTAGAGCAGGGAAAAAATATCACAGTAATCTGTAGCTACTTCAACTGCAGAAACATTTGTCTGGCAGGTGTAACTGGCTTTCCCATGATTCATCAGTGTTTTTCAAGGGGTTTTTTTTCAATCTTGTAGCCCCCTAAAATTTCCAGTGAAGGTGCAAGCTCCTATAGAATTGAATCCTACCAGGAAGAGGTTTACTTCTCACTTACCTTCTGTTAAGTGTTTAGGAACAAGTCACAGACCCCCAGCAGCCTTGTGGATCGCAGTTTGAAATCCACTTTCCTGGCAGAAAGAAATGAAGCGTTCTGATTGTTTAGAGATCAATAATACATCATAACTCATCCCACTGTGAAAATTTCTCCCCACCACCCATCCATCTATGATCCACATTAGGCTACAGAAGGACACTTGTCACGTAAGTGACCATTTGTTTGTACTATGCATGATTGCAGGACCGAAGCCACACTTTATCAAAAATTCACCTTCCTCTCCAAGAAAAAAGAAAAACTATCTTGAACACCTCGTTATCATCATTTGCTTTGCAAATGAAAAAATATCGAAAAAAATTGATAAAGTGTATCACATCAGCTTTTGTTCAGAAGCCATCTGTTGGTTCAGTGAAGCCACAATCTATTTGCATAACATGTCTTCACCATTTTTCTCACAGGGAACTTCCATGTCTCAAAATAAAGCTAATCTCTCCCCTTTGCCTTGTCCCTCCTATTGCCTATACCCTTCTAACCTCGCTCCAAGTACAGCTTGCTTTGGCAAACAACACGTACTGACTGTCCAAATGGCACCTAGCTGTCCAAATGGCACCTAGCTTTCTTTGCTAGGAAAAGGTTACCAAAATCCGAAGTGTGGGGGCACAGTGGCAAAGAGGAATGGGCGAGAATAACACATAGCTTGGTCAGACCTTACTTAGTGAAGAGTTGAAAAAGACAGTATTTCCGCTGCATCTGAGACACCACTAGCTTTACACAGTGAATTGAGGTAGCTAGACTGCCCCTCTTCCGACAATCTGGCCAGATTTTTGCATGTATGTGTATGTATATGCACATGTATATACACGTATGCATATCTGTTCAGGTGTATACACACATTTATACGTACTTTCAGGCTCTCAGGAGAATGTTTCTGTTAGAGTTCTAGGTCATTTTTAGCTCCTGCTACCCTGTGATTTAGGCCAAGAAAAGCCCTTTCGAAGTCTGAATCGTTATTATCTAAGAGCAAAAGTAGAGAGAGCTCTCCTGTACAACCAAATCTCTCCTTTACACAAAACAAAGTGACACAGGGCAAATTTAGCTTTTGTTCAGAAGCCATCTGTTGGTTCAGTGAAGCCACAATCTATTTGCATAACATGTCTTCACCATTTTTCTCACAGGGAACTTCCATGTCTCAAAATAAAGCTAATCTCTCCCCTTTGCCTTGTCCCTCCTATTGCCTATACCCTTCTAACCTCGCTCCAAGTACAGCTTGCTTTGGCAAACAACACGTACTGACTGTCCAAATGGCACCTAGCTGTCCAAATGGCACCTAGCTTTCTTTGCTAGGAAAAGGTTACCAAAATCCGAAGTGTGGGGGCACAGTGGCAAAGAGGAATGGGCGAGAATAACACATAGCTTGGTCAGACCTTACTTAGTGAAGAGTTGAAAAAGACAGTATTTCCGCTGCATCTGAGACACCACTAGCTTTACACAGTGAATTGAGGTAGCTAGACTGCCCCTCTTCCGACAATCTGGCCAGATTTTTGCATGTATGTGTATGTATATGCACATGTATATACACGTATGCATATCTGTTCAGGTGTATACACACATTTATACGTACTTTCAGGCTCTCAGGAGAATGTTTCTGTTAGAGTTCTAGGTCATTTTTAGCTCCTGCTACCCTGTGATTTAGGCCAAGAAAAGCCCTTTCGAAGTCTGAATCGTTATTATCTAAGAGCAAAAGTAGAGAGAGCTCTCCTGTACAACCAAATCTCTCCTTTACACAAAACAAAGTGACACACAGGGCAAATTTTGGAACTGCTTGCTTATTTCCCTTTCATCTATAAGCTTTACAAATACTGACGGTCCTTTGAAGGACTTTGGACTTCATTGCTCAGGCACCAAACCAAGAGACAGTGTATAAATACCAGAGAGTAAAGGCTTCGATTCTCATACACTGAAAAACATTACTGACTAGAAGATAGCTGCTAACAGCTTTTTTGACAGTACATTACTTGGAGTTTAACAGTAATATCTGACATAACGTCACTTGAGTAAGTTAATATCAAAGCTCACTTAACTGATAAAATTATTTTAGAGTATCTTGTCAGCAAGTAACAGGATCAGAAGATATTTCAGCCCCTCATTCGGCAAACCTTCAGCATTGAAGGACAGCTACTAAGAAATCGACACACTCATTGGTAACATCCCTTACTGCTTTGTAATATAATTCTCTCAGGAAAAGATCATTCCCCTGGAAAAGGCTTATCACATTCAAATGCATTGTTTCATGCATGGAAGCCATTTCCTATCCTCTCAATAGCTTAGATGCTGGCACTTGTAACTCAGATGGGATCAGACCAGAAGTCCATCCTTTTTAATGCTCTCTGACACCAGCCAATACCAGACATTTCTGCAGAAAGCAAAAAGGCTGTTAAGAGATGCAGATGTGAGGACAATCTGCCCCCTTCAAGTTCCACCCTCATTTCTGAATCAGCTCAAATTCTGAGCATTGAGTATAATGATTCAGTCTAAATGTAACTCCAATTCAGCTTCATTAACTTGTCCCCTGTACTACAAGACAGAACAAGAGTTCTCTACTTTCCTACTTGCTTCACCGTACTCAGTTTTATAAAGACTCAATATTTGTCTTTTCTTTCATAAGGAGCTAAAGTCTTTGTCTTCCCAGTGGCTTCATAGGAGAAACTTTCTCCTACTCATTTTATTGCCCTTCTTCAAACCTCTCTACTTCAGGAGAATTCTTTTTCAGACATCGAGCTGTACAAAACACTGTTTCAGGTGAAGCCCAGTGAATGATCGAATACTTTGCTCATAGTATCTGTTCTAGCATCCATTTTTGACCACAGCTGTACGTGCCTTCAGCAATAAGCAAGATATCTTCTGCTAGTAATGTTAAATCTTTCCTTGGTGTGCAAGTAGTTAATTTTTCTCCCTCAGAAAAAAAAACCAACACCCTAGATCTTCATTACAGTGCAGTCTAGTCATCTTTCTCACTTATGTTTTTCCAAACAACATACAGGTTCTTAGTAATATGAATAACTACAGAGAAATTAAACTCCTTTAATGGCCATTTCCAAGGACTTTATTCTGAACATCAAAAATCCAGCAAGGACTCTTGAGGTTCCTCACCACTCATGCCTCATTTCTGGAGATCCCTCTTTCCATCATGGGGGTGGATGAGATGATGGCTTTGGTGCTTCCTGAGCTCCTTGCTTTCAGAGGAATTTCTTTAATACAAGAAAGAATCAACACCCTTTTGTTCTAAGTGTATTCACACTACCTTGTAATTATTCAATGCTGAATAATTAGCTCTGTCTTGTTTTAGGCATCCCAGAATAACTGCTTTCTATATCTTCACTTGATTTAAGAGTTCACAGTAGCTTATTATCTACTGCTATCAACATTTGGAGAAACAGCTGTTCAAACTTGACCCACATGGTATGAAATAAAGCTAATACACACTTAAGTACACCAATATATGAATTTTAGGTCTGTATCTGCATCAACAGCAAACAGCTATTGGCTTATCTACATCTTTAACGTTACAGCTTTGGATTACAGGACAAAAGTTACACGGGTCTTTCCATCATTCAATAGCTACCCAGAGCCGTTTATTAGTTACTGAAACAGAAAAAGGGTCTCTTATAACCTCAAAACAAATTTGACACAGCTATCTACGCATATCTTAGTCTTCCTTCCTATCTACATTTTGTTTGCTATGTACAGACCTTTTTCTTGCTTACTACAGTTTACTAGAAGAAAGCAGGTAACAGTTGTGAAAAGAAAGCAAGCTGTTTCAAGGGTTGCTCCATTACTTCAATGAAAAAACAAAACCAATAGTCATTTCTTTGCAACGGATGACTTCTAATTTTTCTGAAAATAAAAAGGTTTGTGTAAGCAACATGCTTAAATAGCAAAGTGTATAGCTGTCAGTGATGTTTCTCTTCCACTGCCCTACCTCCTCAGGTCTAAAAGGCAGATGACTAACCAAGGTGATCAGATGCAGCAAGAAAGTGCTAGAAGAAAGTGCTAGAAGCACAGAGGAAGAGATGCAATTTATATACCTGAGTTACAGTGGAAAAAAAGGAGAAATATAAACAGCTTCACTGAGTGTGCAACAGCAAGACATTTTAGCCTGTTTTATGTCATCAATCTCTTTCACAGAACACTAGCTTTTATTATAAAAACCAGCTTAGCCATTAAGTAAAATGAGTGCCTAGGAACATTTAGACACCGAGAGCAGTGTGACATCTAATTACATGGATTTCAGCCTCCAGTTATCAAATCTTTTATCTGTATCCCAAGCATACTAAAGGCACAGCAATTTATAGCAGGCAGCCTAAATCCTTTAGTTGAACTTTTCTTCCTCAAAATAGCACACAATATATTCCAATATCCAAGTAAAAAAATGCTGCCAGCACATATGGCATATTTGCTACTAACAAAGTAAGCATTTAAGAAAGGCATTCCAGCAGCCAGGAGTTTTATTTGCCAAGAATTCAGATTTTTTTTTATGTAAAAGTTTTTCCTTTTTACATAGGAAACCAAGACACATGGGATGCAAAAGTTTGTAAAGATTTCAGGAGGCTGCAAAATATGTCCATGTAAAAGCCATTCTCAGAAGCCAACATTCAAAATAAGATGAAGACTGAAAACACTTTCTTTAAGGCAGCTCACATCCTGACATTAACACTTGCGTGACAGGTTTCTACAGAAAAAGCTGTTACAGGGACTTCAGTCCCTGAATCATCAGTCTCGGTTGAAGAGCTTAAATATAAAGAAAGGGGAGCAAGAATCGCCTGTTTTCCAGGTACTGCCTAATCCAGATGTGTAACAACTTCTCCCTTCACTGGAGTCTCATCCGTTTTTCAGGTGGTCCTTTAGCGCCAGCACTCTGCTGAGCATTCTTTACAGTCTCTTTTTCCTCTGGCTTGACAGCTTCAGGGGCTGGTTCCGGTTCCTTCTTGATTTGATCCACTTAAGAAGTACAGCAAAAGAAAGTTAAACCTCCAATTTTTATTCCTAAAATACTGTTCAGAGTACTCAGAAAATATTGTTGATATCAAAGGGGCAAAATTAATTTCAAAGGTATAAGAATAACCAAGGACTAAATTCATACCTATACAGGTGAAAAAGTGGAATAGATTGAGGAGATACAGTTCATGATTTTCCTGTTTTGAGGTTGCTCACGATCAACTCAAAGCCTTCACATACTTTCTTGAGCTTGTAACACCATGCAAAAATCACTAAGATGCTGGACTGACCAAACTGTTCCCTCATTCACCCTTTTACCCTCCTCCTGCTTTCAAAGACCATTTCCTGCATTTGGACCTTCAGGCAATACAGTTTTACAGACAGAAAGGGCAGGAGTAGAATAGACATTTTTTCAACTTCACTTTGGCTGTCACAGAGAACTCTTACCTAGTACTTTGCACAATTAGGCAATGCCATAATTCCTAACCACCTCAGTAGCAGCAGCAAGGAACTTATATGGCAACTGGAAGACACTGCTATATAGAGCCTATTTTTTAAGTCTTGTGAGAATATCAGAGTTTTACCTGGGATAGGCTTTTCTCCAGGCTTTTGCTGTGGGGGAGGAAAGAACAAAAAAACACATCAGTGGAACGAAAGTCATAATTCTTAACCCTTCCTACTATGCACTTAGGAATATAAACCAAGCAACGAGCCCTTCTATGTAAGAGTTGAGGGTAGAAGGGATCACTAAATACATTTTAAACAAAATCCAATTAACATTTTATAACATCCAGTTTTTCCTCTGACAAGTGAAAAGCGCTAAAACAAGAAATGCACAGTTAGCCAGTCGTTCCCACATCTGAGGAGTAAACAGTTTTGTGAGATGCTGTAAACATCGTTTCCTTTGCTCCCAAGCAGAAGACCTGCTGGAACAAATGGCTACTAGAGACGATCAGAGGTAATCACAACAACTTCACAGAATGCCAAGAATTTCCATGCTAATTAATAAGCCTCCAGAAAAATGGAGTAACTAAAACAAAATGGCTGTGGTGGCTTAATTGAGCTCACAAAGCAGGAAATTGGAAGCAGCAGCAAAATTTGATAGCTGACAAGAACAGACCCTCTGCGATTAGATAAGGAATTTGTATAACAAAATTTGCCCTCGTAGTTTTGCCAAGGTCTTAATGACTCCTGCAATTACAGAGGGGAATCCTGCACTCCAATCAGAGCCTTCCATTTCAAATTTATTATCTAATCCATGTTATCATTGCACAAAGCACACAAAATTCCCATTCAGTTTCAGCTGTTTAAGTACTTATGACTGCCTTAACTACTAAGTTACAGTAATACTATGACTTATAAGTGTCATACCTGAACAAATCTGGGTGGAAACTTTTGTCTTAGGTCTAAAAGCAAAGCATCTACCCGTTGCCTTTGGAAAATAGAACTTGGTTCTTCTTTCTTCTTGGCTTTTGGTTTAGCTTTCTCTGCAAGTCACAGAAATGTAAGAGAAAGCTGTATTAAAAGTTCTGTTCTCTTAGCAGCTCTTTGTTGTATGACAAGTTGGTATTTGTCTCTCCTCTAAACTTCACCTACATTTTCCCTTCGACATCAGTTATTTTTGTGGAAGACAGGTTAAGGACAATTCTTACCTCCTGACAAACTGGTTTGGCTTCTTAAAATGTACTTTGGTCTCCAGCGGGTTGAAGAGTTGCCCGCTTTGTTGACACACACGGCTCACCATTTTCATTTCCCACCCATGCCTCGATGTTCATTCCCACCAGCACAGAAGAGCAAGATTCCTTCCACCTGACAGGGAGCACTAACTTACCCTTCAGACAGAAAGACACTTAACCTCATCTCTACACCATTGCTGTGCATTGCCTCAAGCTTCTCCCTACATTACCTTCCCTCTCCCAAAGTACACAGGAACAACTAGGAATCATACCTCGTTCTTCTTGATCTTTGAAATGCCACCAGTAGCCCTTGGATGGGTGATAGCGACAGTAGGACATAGCTTCTTCAAAAGCAGACTGAATTCCATGCACCGCAGTGAGCTTTCAGAACAAGAACAGAAGGCAGCATTCAGAATTTAAGGAGAAAATACAGTATAAATTTTTGAAAGCAGGGATTTTAAAATTAGCGTTCTATGTTCATTTTTGTTCTGGGAAGGGAACTTGGGACATCCAGTTTTGCACCAAGAATGTAATCTCTTTAACAGGCTCTTACAAGACCTTTTCTGAATTGCTTTTCTAAACTGACAGAGAAAAACTTCCAAAAGTAGTAGTTTACTAGAAGAAATCAAAACAAACCCAAGTATCCAATTTAAAAAGAAATACCACATTAAATGAGGCTTATGTTTTTAAGTTAAAGAGAAATATTACATTACTTTAACATTCCAAAGCAAGCTTCACGGAATATGTATTTAATTACTATTTCATATGTATTTGTCATTTAATTTTTCTTTTGATTATTCAAACATCATGTTGTTCTGCCAATTGTGTGGCTTCAGTTATCCTGATCCTTTATCCTTAAACAACGTATTCTACTTTCTGGACCACATTGCACTCTCCCAGGATCTTTCATTTCCATGTGGGATGCACACCATATTAACCAGTGGGGTTTGTTTCAAGTTACTGTATGCTACACAAGATCTTTCCTCAAAACAGCGAAGGAGGGATTGAAACAGTCTGAGGAACAACCAAAAGTAAAAGCAGATACAAACTGGTATACATCAAATGCACAGAACACTTACAACTCTGGAGTTAATGACAGACCCTAAATCAGGTGCCTGATAAATCACTCCAGCAATAATATAGTAGTCGGCCAATGGAATAGCTGTGGAGAGAAAAAAAAAGCAGGATCAGTTTAAAGCTCTATCTGAAGATTCTGTATTTGTTGCTGAATTTCAGTAGTAACAGCAGAAGTTGCAATATTCATCTCATCACCAAATTTTCTCTTTTTAACTTTTTCCTTCAAGGTGCTTTATTTGTACCCTAGCCACAGACTGATAAGAGGAAAAAACCCAAGGTCTGCTTTACAGATAGAAAAGCATCAGCTTTATGTCCCATCCTACTGCAAACATATAATTGACCTTACAAGAGTTGGGGTTTTCAGAGCTACACAACAGGAGTCAAGTGAACTGCACTGGAAGTAGTTCCACTTGCCTTTACTACCGGTAGAAACCCACAACGTAAGATCTCATTCTTCTGGCCTCAGCTTTCTTCAACTTGTACAATCCTCTTAGCTAGATTTCCCAGACCCAATAGCAGCTAAGCACACACATGGTATGCCTTTCTAAATTAATAACATTCTGCCAAAAAAAGACGACCTTCCAAAGGCATTTGATAAATCAGATTTGGAAGCTCTACTGACCCATCAAAAATTCTTGTTCATTAGAGCTGCAGTGCAGAGGAACATCATAATTGCCTCCGTAATACTCTGCCAAACATTCTTCAGCTGAGAAACTACAGCAATGCTATCAGCTTCACAATCCTAAGGATCTTAACCTGCGCACACATTTGTCCCAGTTCCTCCATCTGTATTAACACATTCTGTTTCAACCTTTTTACTGACAGGACCCAATTCATCCAGTACTTGCATTTTATGAAGCTTGGACACCTGCCTAAATTAACAGACCGAGACAGCTGGGTGCATATTACAGCCAGTACCCACCTCTCCTCAAAAGAAAGAGGATTCTCAGCATTTCTTTAAGACGTGGAGCAAGACACAGAACAGCAGCTTTACTGTCTCACAGCTCTGTACCAGAGCAGCCTACTTTCCTAGGCAGGTAACTCTCCCTAACCATTGGATCTAAAGATTTTTCCAAAACCACTTCAAACAGGCAAAAACTGGGCTTAAAGAATTTAAAATATACTTTTTTTAAAAAAAACCCACAGAAGTCATAAGACAGGCCTGCACCAGTTCTACCTGAGTACTCAACACTTGCTGTGAACTCATTAAATTTTAGTTTTCCATCCTCATTCTCATGTCTCAAATACGCTAATATTTGTACCATGATAAAATGAAACACAAGTAACATTTGAGCTAGGGAACTATGTGACTCAAGCAAGGTATCTAGCCCAAACTGTACAGTCACAATGGGAGAAACATTACCAAACAAGTCCCAGTTAAGTTCCACCAAACACACTTTTGTATTACAGTGAAAGTCTGCACACATATATTGTGGAAGTCCCAACTCTACTCTTGATCTAAAAAGTGTCAAAACAGGAAATTAAGTGCTGCATAATATTTCCATGGTCACCTTTTGAAAGCTAGATTCAAAACCTTTAATAAAGAAACAACTCTAAAAATCTATTAAAAGGAGGAATCACGTATGTTCTTTTTCAGTATGCAACTGCAATATAACGAGGCCATTACCCGATATAAGCAAGTAAGAAGCATTGCTAGACAAGGCAAACTCCTGCACAAGACCAAAATGCATGTGCAGAGCCTAAGTCACTAAAAAAAAAAGTTAAGAAATAACTAGCATTAAACCTGCCTTTCTTTTCTGTAAAGCTTACTCTGAAATAACCAGATTATTTTACACATACATGCAGTAAACACAGAAGACAGTCCAATAACTATTGAAATGCGGTTACTTTTTTAATTAATCACACATGCACAAAGAAATTTAAGGTTAAAAGGAAATAATGAAGATGGTTGCACGCAAATGGAAAAAAACTAAGGTATTTCATTTAAAACTTGGAAAGGTCATCAGTGACACTGTGAGGAGTGGTGCAATTGTCGCAAGATTCCCTCACGATTCCAAAACACTCAGTTCTCAGAGGAGTAACCAAAACAACAAGCATTTGCTTGTTTGCAACATGCAGTATCTCATGGTCATTTTTCACATGGGTCGTCATCCTCTGCTGACAAGATCCTACTCAGCAGTATAACCAATCCACAGTTGAAGGTGGAAATAGTACAAAATAAGAAAGTGACATGACACAAACAGAAGCATGAATGATCCCTCTCCCTGACTAACTCAAATCATGGTTCGGCAAAATAAATAAATAAATCACATACTAGCCACTTCAGATGATTAGCTCAAATTGAACTAAGCTCATCAGCCCCAAGCAAGGATATTGTTAGCCTTATATTCCAATAATTAAAATGAAAACTCTTGCATAGCCTAACAGATAAATACAACATAGCATGAATGCTGTTACCAATTTCCCATGGCAAAATATACCACAGGGCAGCACTTACTCATTGCACTCTTCACATTTCACCACAAGATGGCAATCCCTGCTATTAGCACACTAGAGATCACTCTGATAGACAAAATATCTCCACCCCACCACAAAGCCTCGTACCCTTTTATTTAGATTTAAGAAAAAGACAGAAAAGGGGAACCAGAAGTGCTTAAACACGAATTAGGAACAGATAAAAGCGACTAGCTGATCGTCCTTCTCAACAGTGACAAGAACTGAGTGACCTTACCTTGTGTTGGAGATTGCCTTTGCTGCTTCCGGATAATGAAAAGAATGGGCTCTTGAGCATGAAGAAGGATGTACTCCACCCCAACCATCTGGCTGAAAAAGAAGCAACCAGAATAAACATCTTCCTCAAAGTAGAATCTGTAGGATGTGAAGAGCTACCAATGGCCTGGCAGTAAGGGATGAAGTTCTGATGCTTTGGAAGCTCTTCAATATAATGTGCAGTAAATAAAGGCATGGGATTTCCTGAGCTAGCTATCAAAACCTAGCTGCATACACAAAGGGAGTTACAACAACCTGACACAACATCTAAGTAGAACATGTTAGCAAACAAATAAATAGCAAGAAAGATAACACAATCTATCATCATAGAGATGTCATTTAAACACAGAAACAAAGGACCAGTGTATGATGTGGCCATCTGTGTGTCCGATGTGAAAGCCCCTCCACAACCACATCTGAGCACAAGCGACTTTACCAATGAACTTTTAGCTCAGCTTGCACACTCCCTATCATATTGTGGAGTCTTTAAATAGTTCTCAAATACCTCACTTGTGCTCAGTGTAGCAGATGGGGAACTGCAAAGAAAGTTAACTTGCACATGCTGCAATCTCATTACACAACCATCTGTGATCAGTTTATTTACAACGCTCACTACTTTTATTATCCATACTAAAAAGCCAGCTCTTTGGAGGAATTATATACTAATTATTGCACATAGTCAGCGGGATATGGAAACACAAACTATTTATGAACTCTACTATCCCCTAACATAAACCCTATTCACCACAGAAAAACATTTAACTACATTACCATTACTCGGGTTCTGTTGAGCTGGGAAGATGAAAGGACAGCTTTTCTAATTCGGAGAAATATCTAAAAGGTGATTGACTGGAATCTCAGGATATACATGGAATCCTTCATGCTTAACACCTCCTTGAAATGGCGTAAGAGGAAGTAGAAGACATCCAAATACAAAAAAGCTGGGCTCCCTGGCAAGTGGTGGGACTAAAAAGCACAGAACAGAAGGAGGTTTCCAGCATGCTTCCATTCAACCATCAAAGCCTCTGGATGGAGGGACAAAGGACACTGCACAGGAAGCAGTTCCAAATTACAACTTACTTCAAATGGTCCAAGGTCATCCGCTGCATTTTGACGACTTCATTGTTACATGTTCGGTCATAGAACGGGTTACTTCGCTCCGAGAAATAGTCCAACACGCTCCCATTGTTTAATATTGGAATCCAGGAGCTGTCAACCCAGGAAATTCCTAAGAGATTATCTGAGAAGAGAAATCTACGCTGAGTACCAAATCAGCCAGAAACACTACAAATACCTCCAAGAGTGAATTGCTACCATTAAAAATGTGTTTCACAGAGTTCAAATAATAATTGATAACCTTTAACCTTCTGAAGTTCTGTTGTAGGTACTCAATAGAAATACAGTCTTTTTTTGTTATTGCACTTTTCTTTCCTTGACCACTAGCTGCTGGTATACTTTTATGTCTCAAGAATGTGAGTAGGGTCTGTGTGCCCATGTGTGTGAGCTGTGTTGGTGGGAGTTAATTAGCTCTGATACTGCATATAATACTATCATACTGCATCTACCCAGTAGTATTATATACAGTTTATGAACCACAGCATTAGCTGAGTAGAAAGACAATCCAAAGCATGGGTCCTTTTGAAAGCTAGGTCTCAGTTTAGTAAATTCAACTTACTTACCAAAGTTAGGATCAGTTACAGGGGGGGAAAAAAAGTGATACACCCCACACTAAATCTAAGCCTGGCCATGTTTAAAACAGTTTATTTCTTACAAAATTAATTTCCAAGCTGAAACTATAATAGTGAAAATAGGTAAAACACTGCAGAGATCTATTAATTAAACCAAGAGTTTTCTTTTGCTAAAGCCAATGAATAAACTACTGAGTGAAACAAAATAGTGGCATTGTTAACATTTCTAAGATGTTCTGTTATTAAAATATGTACCTATATGATATCATAGCAGCTGATACTGTTGTGTTTCAAAGATTTTTTTTTTTTACATGGGTGAAATCTATAATAAACAAAAAAAACCCAAAACAGCAGACAAAAATGCTATCTTTGGGCAGATGTTTCCCAGTAGTATTGAACAACAGGTTCTGTTCCTGACTCTACAATTAATCTGCCAAATTGCCTTCAGCAAATTCCTTATTCCATAACTCAAGTGGATATTACAGAAATCTAACTACAGAGTATTAACAATTACTTAAAATAGCAAGCTTTTTAAATGAAATATGTTCTATAACCTGCAAATCATTATATGCCAGATAAGTTCCTACAGATTTGGGGACATTTGAATTAAAATCCCTGGATTTTATTATCACACTGCAGCAAAATGATGTTCCTCAAGCAGACCAAAGAAACCAGTGTCAACAATCACTTCTACATTCAACAAATCTGCTAACATTGAAGATCCATGAGGCACCTTGAAAAGCACCCTGAAATTCATCCATTTTAAACTGCAGCAGCAGCAAATAGAATTCCCAAGACACAAGAAAGCAGGAAACAAAGGCATGCATTGTTTAGAATTAAAAAGACATAAGTGACAAGAAGTCATTGAAAACTGACTGAAGAACTGAAATTCCCTTCTCACAGGAACCACTCCCTTACATTCATGCATTATATACATACCCAGAACTCCCACTTATCATTCCACTGTGAATATTTTACTTCTCAACAACTCTGCATGCTCAAGGATGACTGGATCAGTTCCAAAAATGTCAGCTCATACACTATTAGCAGCTTCTAATAAAGTAACACTAGCTGCCCAGCAAACCAGGAAAAACAGCAGCGTAAACAGTCATGCATAAATCATTTTGCCTCGTTAATCTCAGAATTGCCAGCCTAACTCTTTCATAGAACAGGGGGGAAAAAACAAAAGTCTAGAGGCATTCATGTTGTTTCACATACACTAGTCTCTCTCCTCACTACAAAAAAGGAAATCTCAGAAACACAGCACTAAGATCCATTATTAAGCACTTAAGTTGCAGTAGCACTGATTATTCTAAATGCCTCTCAAAACCAAAAGACAAGCTTTCCTTCCCAACAAAACCAAAATCTTAAGTGCTTGCATTTTTGCCATCATAAATTCTCATATTACATTTCAAATACAAACTTTTCTTGCTTGTATGATTAACAGTAACTACATTTCTCACGAGGAATGTCAGGCAAGCTTCATATATATATATAGTCTATGTATATAGACTGATAAACGTATCGCAAAATGGAATATAAATTTGGGCTCTAAGGCTCAATTATCCATAGCTGCTTAGTGCCAATATTTATAACTGCCTTTATAACTAGCAAGACTGTTCTCTTAAACTTTTCTTGGAAAAAAGGGGAGGAAGAACAAAATCAGCCATGAACCTGACACGCCCGTTATTCCCACTAAGAAGGGAGTACTTCTGTTTATTTTGGGTATGAGAAAGAAAGAATGGTGTTCCTGCTTCCCTGTTCCTTTCAAAAAAAGGACATCTTGTTCAAAGCATTTTTTGTGGAATTTGCATCACAGATGCAAAAGTAAAGTCCTTGTGACAACACTGCCAATCTGCCATGAATGTCAGGACAATTTGGGAGACAAGACAGCAAACCATGGCAAAAAATAACAGGAGACCAATTCACACAGTGCGCTGTAACTGGCCTTGCTGGCTGGATAGCCCAACACTAGGCTTTGGCAAACTGAGAGGAACGGTGAAATAGTTTGATAGCTTAAAAATAGAAGTATGCTTCAAACTCAACTTAATATATTGAACCGTATAAAACAGAAGACTTTGAGGGAGCTTAAATGATGTGGATTAAGACAGAAGGTTCTCACACCAGCTAATAACTTAATACAGCACTCCTGCCATTAATTGTCCAAATAGCTCCTTGCTGCAATCTGAAACAAGGCAGTCAGAAAAGCAAACAGGACTGCAGACATCATTAAGTAAGAATTTGAAAAAAAAAAAAGGAGAAAACATCTGTGGCATTATCAAAATTAACCCCTCACAAGCTTTCCCTAAATATCTGCTCTTGGTCATTCCCTGAAACTCCACCACACAGGCTTTTGGCATGATTCCATTCAAAATCATTTGGAAAAAATTGGAGAAAAATAATTTCCTTTCTCATGCCCTCTCAACCCCCTCTTCCCCTCTCAAAGTTCAAACTCTTCACAGTAATTTAACCTGTATTTTGTTTACAATGTAAACCTTCTTTAATACTTCATTCAAATATCACCGCTGCTTCTTCAAAACATTCTCTCTTTCTATTCATATCCCTGAATTCTCACCCAAACCTTTCTTGTTCTCAGTTACTTCAGCTTTCTCCCGGGCTTTTCTAACACCTGGCCTGCATCATCACATCCACCCGAAGCACTGTTAAGATTACCAGCCTAACTCACTGCTTTGGTCTCATGAAAGTCCCACACGCGCCAGTGTTTCCCACTTTCCTCCACACTTCAGAGCTAGAACTCTCTTTTTCAGCTGTTCCCTTATGTTACTGTCTCACCCCTGGACCTCCTTATTCCATCTGAAAAGGCAGAAGTGTACCAGAAGGGAGGCTTGTTTTTCCCAGGTGGCCCTGAACGCACCCTCCTAGCCTGCCTCACATCCAAGAAAACTGCTTTTTGGTCAGTTTTTCCTCCCAGTTCCTTCTCATGACATAGATGCACTAGCAACGCTACTAAACTCTCTTGTGCAGAGTTTCCAAAGACACACAAACAAACTTAGTTTGGGCCCCGTTGCCCCTACAGAGCACTAATAAAGGAAGCAGCTCTATTATCCTCGCGCCTCTGGCCACACCTCATCGTC